TAGGGTGAGACTCATTTAACAACCACTTTGCTTACCAATGGAAGTTTCGGACCCAATTGTGGTCATAAGTTGAGGAGTACCTGTATAAATCAGCCTAATTTGTGCAAGAAACATCTCCCAAAAATCTTTATCACAACAGATTATTAACATTTAGCAGTGTTATAGATCTATTTCCATGCTATGCTAGAGGCTACAAGACCAACTGTATCTTCTGGCCTTCTTCCAAGCAGGAATGGCGTGCTGACTGCCATCTTACCTGACATTGCCCTGCATGGGAGTAATGGTGCCTCCAAACAGCTCCATGCCAATTATTGCAAATGCATAGAAAGCCACCTGTGAAATAAAAATTGACATCCTACTGCAGCCAACTGAGAATGATGCAACAACACAGTGTAAGTCTCATTTAGGTTAGAGTTCTCCAACCATTCAGGGTTGGCAGTCCGGAGTGGGGGGGGAGGGGGGAAAGAAGGGATGGTTTTTTGGGAGGTGAACACATGCACTCGTGTGTGTGCGCGCACACACTCATTGCTCACGCGAATGAGGCCATGAGCACCTGCGCGAATGGGGAAGCAAACACCTGCAACACTTGCATGAGTAGGGCCACGAACACCCACAACACTTGCAGCAACGCTTGTGCGAATGGGGCCACAAACACCCGGGACTCTTATGATGCTCACGTGAGTGGGGCTGTATGCACATGCACACACGAGTACACCGGCCAGCCCAGTGGCCAATAGGCTGCAGCCAGGTAGTGGACCGTGCCCCAAAGATTGAGGACCCCTGATTTAGGTGACATAGTAAATCAGAAGTGTGGATTATTGTAGAACTCTTGACTTCTCCCCATCGTTTAAGCTTACACTACTATTTGCATCATACTTCCAGGAGACTGACCCCATGATTGGATGTTCATTTAGTTATGTGAATACAGTGGTATTATTTTTTTGTTGTTCACAGCTATCAATAGACTGCACAAGAAGTTTGCTGTAAATCAGGAGAAACAGCAACTGGGAAATCCAGGGATATGCTTTATTTATGGCTTGCCATGTTACCTGGACTTATCCATAGTCAAGCTCGTATTTTCCAGGAACAAAAAAAGAACTGTTAACTTTGAATTATAAAAATAGAGAGGGAATGAAGACAGCAACTATACAAAAGACCCTTGTTTGGCAATTTTAAAAGTAGATATAGACAGTCAAGACAATTTAAATCACCTTCCTATTCATATGCTTTCTAACCCTGTAATGCTCTTCCTAATGTTATAACAGCTTCTCCTCTTATATTGTTTGGGGGCTGCAGCCAAATATCTCAATAACCTAAACTTTATCCACTGCTATTCCTATACACGCATATACACGGAGGCAGGCTGTAGTGCTTCTGCACATAATAGATGTTCCTTCAAACAATTAATTACTTCACTGGGATTCTCATTACCCTGATTTTCAGATGGGCACTAAGTACTTTCTGGCAGAAAAGCATCATAACATCTATAAGTGATTTTTTTAATGTCAATTTCTTTTATAAAAATGATCACATAAATGCTTTCAAATGTTATCTAGATGGGTCACAGCAAATCTAATGGAGTCACAGTTACTTATAATATCAAAATGCAGCATACACAAATTGTATGTGTATTCCTCTTTTTCTCATACACACATGTTATTGCTGGCCTTGCTTTAAGCAAGATAAACATTTCAGTGAGCCTGGGAAAATTGTTAGTATTTATGTCTCTGTTGTGGAAAAATCCCATGAATTATTTGCCAAACTATTTAAAAGATTTTAATTGCACTGGATTATCTTCACCCTGCAATGCATAAAACTGCCAATAGATGGAGCTTTCCTCCTTGTGATAATCACAGCAAGTCAAATTAATTATTATCTAAGTCTCTTAAAATGAAGTAGGTAGTATATTATAAGGCGTGCACACAAATGACTACAAGTCTCAAAGCAATAAAAAGTGTTTCTACAACTGGAGAAAGAGAGAGGGGGGGAGAGAGAGAAGAGGGGGGGAGAGAGAAAGTAAATAATTCTGAAAATTAAGAAAGATCCATTTTAAACTTGAAAGATAATTAGTTCTACTCTAGAATCTGTTTCTAAAGCAGGAATATCATGCAAAACCTAACCATGGCTACACCATTAGGAAAGGATAATAGTATTATACAACTAAAACTCATGAAGCAATCACTGTGGATTAGTGCAAAGGAGACCAATTGTTCTTCTGAGCAGGAAATTTTCTCCTTCCCCATAGTAAAAGAACTGAGGAGTGACTATGGTTTCTTGAGGTTTAACCTTTCATCAATCTAGCAGGAGAATGAATGGAATACATAATGCAACTATTTTTGTGAGATGGGCAATTACATGTATTTGATTATTTAATTATTTATTTATTTACATTTTTTTTTCTCTCTCTCTCTCCCTCTCTCTCTTTCTTTCTCCAGTTGTAGAAACACTTTTTATTGCTTTGATACATAAATAAAATGCTGGCTTTTGTCCAATTTGCAGACACCAACAATTAAATGTTCAGCTCACTGACTCCTTCCCTGAAGTTTCAGAATTGTCCAAACATTTATTATCTGAAAATAATTTCATAAATACCACTTTAGCAAACAATACAAATAATAACAATAACAGCAATAACAATAATGGACTGCTGTTGATAATAATGGATTGGGAGTCAATACTGACCACTTTGAAATATAACTGGTCCTGATTATAATTCAAAGGATCCATTAATAATGCAAGTATCATCAGAGGTAGGGAGATGAAGAACAAGTAGGAGAAACAAATTCAGGTACTACTATTTAAAGATGTGATTCTCAGAAAGGCCACAAGTGAACAGAAAGAAGTTAAGGATAGGAGCTATTTAACTGAAACCATTAACTCTTGACAGAATCAGAATGATTCTCTTTCTCCCTCGGTTGCAAACTGATGGAATTGTCCAATAACATTCATTACATTTACTATATAACATTCACTAGAAAACTCTGGGTTATTTCAAGGCAAGAGATGTTTTAAGGACAGTATCTAACTGTTCTTTGCTAATCTCAGAATATTAAAAGTACTTGGATGAGAGACTACAGGAAATCCCACAGCCATACCACATGACTAAGTGAAAAAAACAAAACCATTCTGGTAAACTACTACGACAAGTTCCCAAATTATATGGACCTGTCCATGTAGTCATCAGGAGATGAGCAGGAGTCCTTGACTTATGACTGTTTAATGACAGTTCCAAGTTACAGTGACCTTGGGAAATGTAACTTAAAACCTGCCTTCGAAGCTACGAAGGTTGCAACACCCCTGCAGTCATGTGATCTCAATTCAGGTCTTGTCAACTGGCTCTCGTTTATGACAGTTGCAGCAGCCTGCAGTCACGTGATTGTGACTTGCCACCTTTCCAGCAATCTTCTGACATACAAACTCAATTGGGGAGGTGGTGGATTCATTTAGCAACTGCATGAATCACTTAACGACCACAGTGATAAAAATGGCTGGCAAATCCGGTCCTGTCACACTTTATGACTGTTCTGACCTACGATGGAAATTCCAATCCCCAATTGTGATCTTAAGTTGAAGACTGCTTACATTTTAATTATTAGTAGTATTTTCTTTTCAGAAACAGAGAGCTAAAAACAGAGTGTCAGTCTGTCTGTTGGTATAGTGATTAAAGATACCAAGCTGGAAATCAGGAGACTGTGAATTATAGTTCAGACTTAGTCACAAAGCCAGCTGGGTGACTTTGGATCAGTCACAATCTCCTCAACAATAGAAAGCAATGACAAACCACTCCCCAAAATGTTGCAAACTACAGAGACTTATCCAGTACAGCTTTTGCTAGGTCTCAAGACTGATCCAAAGGCACGCGTGCAAACACACACACACATACACGCACACACATAAACACAAATACCATATGCTCTATGAATAATTTGGTACATGGAGAATTTCAAAAAAGTATCATAGCACGCACTCCATGAAAATTCTTACATGGCTCCTACCTTCTTCATAGCTGAGTGTCTTGGGGAGAGCAAATAAATAAGACTGGGAAAAGCTTCCCCATTCCCCAGACTTTTCCCCATTCCCCATTCAAAGTAATAAAAAAAAATCTTAAAAGTAAATAGCGCCCCAGAACTGGATGTTTTGAGATTGTAAGCTGTCAGGATTTCAGTTGCCCTTGAACTTCTCTGCTTCCCAAACATTTGCTAAATATCAATTAGCATTTTCCTTCTTTAATTTCTTAAAAATTCATGCAGTATTTTTCTCTTCTTTCCTGAAATACTCTTGAAATGTGTAGAAGGCTTGCAAGTGTAGCTTTGCTTCCCTGCTGACACCAAGTCCACCCTTAGTCTACACTAACTCTGCAGGACTCATTTATCCTAACTGTGCAAAGCACCATTCCTTAAAAACAACAACATTAAAGACTCCAACCAGCATGCAGAGGCCTCATGGGTATCCCAGTATCCCTCCAACTATGATATCATTTAATGCTTTGTTGAAGCGTGTTGCCTTAATAGTTTAACAGGAATACAAGAGGGAAAGGAAATGCAGCAAATATGAGAGGCATCATTCATCTGTGAAAATATCCCTGCATCTAGAAATATTCTCTTTCTCTGGGAAGTATTTTTTAGGCTCAAAGTATGCCTCCCATTTCCTTCCCCCCAAGACTGGGTATATTACACTCTTTTTAGCTGACAAATTAGTTTTCCATGAGTCAGCTGCTCTTAGTATTCCATAGATCCTGGAAGTTCACAGCTCATTCTTAGTCCATGTCTTTTTTTAATTGTATTTTTTTTTTACAACAGATTGATGCCTATAAACCTAGGAAGGTCCCATACAGATAAACTTATTATTATCTTTGTACTGGGTGCTTGACCAAGTTCAAGCATTAGAGAGAAAAAGAGACAGAAAGATAGAATGGGTGGGCAGTCACTATGAAAAAAAACTATTTGATTAATTTATTGAAACAATAGAATCGCCAAGATTCGTTTCCACAAATTGCCAATGTTTCTTGACAAAAATTATTTCTTGACAAAAATTATTTCAAAATAATGCACAAATCATTATTATTATTTTTTTGCTTTTTGTTTACTTACCACCAGAATTCCTGCAAAGGTTCTTATGTTTTTCACTAGATCCAGCAGTGTACTGGCAACTAAAGACATGAACTTGGGGAGAAGAAAGAAATCATTAGTGGGGTTTTTTTACATTCTTTCATCTTAAGAGAGAAAAGCAATATTAAAATCTACACACAAAAAATGAAATTACTGTAATGTTTGGGATGATCCTTAAAAATCTGAACACAATCAGCATATTTGCTAGACGAACCATGTCCCATAGAGACAGCAATCCCAACATTTCAGGTCTCCTAGGAAAACAAGAAAAAGACATTTGCAGGAAAAAAAACCAGAGAGGAGCCACCATCAACATTAAAAGGGGTTGTTCTTTCAACCAACCAAAACATAATTTTAGCAATGCCAGATGTTAGGGGGAAAAAAGAAAGAAACCAAAACCGAACATAAAATAAAAACCTGAATCTTAACCATTATTTTCCATTCTTGAATGATTTTGTTGTCATTATTTCAAGATTAAATACAGTAGGATGGAGTTTACACATATTTGCAGCAGTTTTACAGCTGTTGTGATCTGACAGGTCTATACAACTTTTTATTTTTCACTCCTTTTTATAAGGAGTAAAAATAAAAATGCTATGTGGTAAAAATCCCAATATTGTAATCCTTTCTCTGTAAAAAACAGAGACTTTATATTCACACCCCTTTGAAAGAGTATCTTGATACTTCTAAATGACTGAATCAGACAGAAAAAAAATCATGTTACACTATGCAAGAAATAGCTTCTCTTTTTGATTTTTTCCGCTCCAATGTTCCAACTGAACATAATCAGCTGTTACTAGAAGCACTGTTCCAGATACCAATTTCAAAGTAGCCAAACATTGCTTACTAAGGACACATACCAGCCTGGATGAGGAAACCCATATACAGCAAATGTGGACACCTCCAAAACCTTTGGGAAGAGAAGAAGTAAAAATTATAACTGACTGGGGTATGTGACCCCAATGTTGTTCAAGGGCTGGGAACAGATGGGGGGAGGCAGCAAAAGGATGCGAGGAAGAAGAGATTAAGAAGTCCATTTGTTCATCACTGGGTCAGATCCATTTACTAGAAATTAATATTATTCAAGTATAACATGGGGAAGGGAAATGAACAATAAACAAAGCTCAACAAGAAGTTTTTAATTCAAAAGGAAGACAATTCTGAATTTAAGATGAGCAGCAGCACCCCTCCACAGGATTAAATGGAAGGGGGAGTGGTAAACACAAATAAAATCCTATATTTTGCCCATCTTAACTGCCAACTTCCACTGAAATCATTCCTGGAAATATATCTATGCATGTGTGTATGCGTGCATGCATGTATCCTAGCTTAAAGTGAAATTAAAAACAAGGGCAATGCTAGGCAAAATATTAAATTAATTGTTATTCAGTTAATGAGTACTAAATACACTTAATTTCCTATCAAACATCTAATTTGAATAATATCAAATATCTCATTTGAAGAGTTGATTCACATCTACCTATCCTAACAGACACATATGTGCATACTATACACACACACACACACAAACACACACACCACTCTCTTATTTAAGAGCCATGGTGGCGCAGTAGTAGAATGCAGTATTGCAGGCTAATTCTGCTGACTGCCAACTGCCAGCAGTTCAAGTTTCACCAGCTCAAGGTTGACTCAGCCTTTCATCCTTCCAAAATGGGTAAAATGAGGATCCAGATTGTTGGGCGCCATATGCTGACTCTGTAAACCGCTTAGAGAGGGCTGTAAAGAACTGTGAAGCAGTATATAAGTCTAAGCGCTATTGCTATTTGCACATGCAAACCAGACAGGGATAGCCAAAGGGCCAAATGTGGCCCGGGGGCCGTAAAATGTCCAGGTTTGCTCTGGAAGGATGAGTCCTCTCCCCATCCCTCCAACAAGTCATGAACTGTGGCAACACAGTATTGCAGGCTAATTCTGCCAACTGCCAGCAGTTCAATCCTGACCAGAACGAGCTTGACTCAGCCTTCCATCCTTTCCAAGGTTGGTAAAATGATGACCCAGATTGTTGGGGGCAATATGCTGACTCCATAAACCGCTTAGAGAGGGCTGTAAAGCACTATGAAGCGGTATATAAGTCTAAGTGCTATTGTCACTAAGTGCTATTGGCACACATACAAAGAATGACACACACCCACTTAGAAAAAAGGAAATCAGGGCCTCACAAAGCGATAAGAGGTTTTCATAAAGCACTTTCAAAGGAATATCTTTATGAGCTTTCTTCAAAACAAAGCACGTCTTGAAAACTCTTCTGGAAGAACTATTATGTAAAAGCAGAATGGAAATAATTCCATGACGCTTACCATCAGGACCAAAGTCAGAAGTCCATCAAATACGTTGCTTGGATAGGATAAATATCTTTTTAATCCCAAGGCCATTAATTTCAGCAACATTTCCAGAAGGTAGTACAAAATAAAGAAACAGTTTGTAACCTTGGGGGGAAAAAGAGTTAAAGTGAAAATTTAAATCAGAGCTTTTGGAGAGTAACAAGAACAGGGTCTCACGGAATAGATGGTCTTACCCCTAAAAAAAAGTCATCTCGCAGAGCAGGTGGCTTATCTGCATCTATTACCATGACTCCCTGGGAAAGAAAAGGCTCGCAGGTTATCAGAGGCAAAACAATTACAGTTCATTATAAGTGATGCATCTAGAACATATAAAATAGCCATGAAAAACCAACAGTCCATGAAAAACATTAGTCAACCTACTGCCTACACTACTTGTTAGGCATAAAGATATTAGATCTGCATGCCAATCAAATCTCCAGAAGGTTTTCTAAGCTAATCTGACCAGTCATATATGAACTAATCACTGAACTGCATTTTGTTTGATCGTCTAAGTCAAATAGTCTAAGAAACACAATGCCTTACAGAAATAAAATATCCCCCAGGCCAATAGCATTCAGAACCAGGTTACCCCTGGTTCCTACTTATATACAGCTGCAAAACACGAATATCAGCAAAGCCATTGGATAAAATATCTGACCAAGACTAGAAAGAGCTGGGTTCAAATTCTAATTTGTCACGAAACATCTTAAGATATAGCAGGGCAGTTGCATAGCCTCAGCCTAATCTATCTCACACAGTTTGTGAAAATAAAATAAAGACATAGGTCCAGCCATCATCTTTTTGCAAGAAAAGACACATATAATCATTGTATTAATTATAATTCTTTTTTAAGCTATCTGATATAGCTTCAGATCAATGTTTCAATCTTCTGTTTGTGGTGTAAACCATAGCAGGAGGCTGGAATTTTAACCTAGGACTCCTGTATCCTTCAGTGGACAGATGAAGCTAACTTACATAAAATGATTAAGACATTTCTTAATACTTTAAATACTTTTATTAAGTATTTTTCTTACATACAATAAGGAAAGAACTTTCCTCACAAAGAGAAGACGCTACTTCAAATGGCACCATGTACTTACGCATACACAGAAAATATTTGCTAGTGCTACAAGGTTTCCTAAATACCCAAAGTAGTGATGTCCAAAAATAAACTGAACTCGCTGTAAGAATGGTGACTGATAATCTGGTTGGGAAGGACGCTGAAAAAAAGCAGAATGAGAAAGTCTTATCAGGAATTATTTTTACAGGATGCCTTGAAGAAAATGTGGCTTTGGGATATTGTCTGAAAAAGGGCATACCATTTCGTCAGTTTGATGCATATGCCTGAGCAATGCCTGCCATTGAAAGTAGTCCTCAACTTACGACCACAATTAAGCCCAAAATTTATGTTGCTAAGTGAGACATTTGTTAAGTGAGTTTTGCCCCATTTTACAACCTTTCTTGCCACTGTTGTTCAGTGAATCCCTGCAGTTGTCAAGTTAGTAACACAGCTGTTAAGTGAATCTGGCTTCCCCATTGACTTTGCTTGTCAGAAGGCTGCAAAAGGTGATCACATGACCCCGGAATATGGCAACCGTCTTAAATATGAGTCAGTTGCCAAATATTTTAATTTTGATCACATGGCCATGGAGCAACATCTGTGAGTTGAAAAATGGTCATAAATCACTTTTTTTCACCGCTGTTGTAACTTTGAACGGTCACTAAATGAACTTTTATAAGTTGAAGACTACCTGTATATATGATTCTCCTTAAGTTTATACTCTCTTTAAAAGCTGGGTGGGGGAAAGGATATCGTGACAGAGTGGCAGGAAAAAAAATTATACCTGCATCTTTGCATATTTAAATACACAATTTATCAATGGTTCATTAATAAAAACGCTTCTAACCCCAAAATGGATATGGCTCAATTATCAACAATGAATACTTATCAATATCTGAAAAATTTAGAGTATATGGGGTACGTAGGTGGGCTCTGGCATAGTAGACAGTATTCCACTGTTGTAGATATTTTTACACAAATTACCGCAAATATTACATTCCTCATAATAATCTTAAATTTAGACAGAACATTACTAATCAGTAGTCTCATTCAAGAGTACAGAAACACTGTACTAATAGGATACATAACTTCCAACCTCTAGAAAGCTTCTAAAAGTTACTACTCAATTATAATATTTAATTTACAAAAGGGGGGGAAATGTTAGTCTTAACAATGTCTATTTCTCTGATTCATAGCCAGCTTATTTTTGGTTCCACAAACTATTGAAGCCAAGAGTGGCCTTTGGCTTGCATTTCCCTATTCTGATGTTATGTTCATCCATCCATCCTTGCCATTAACATATATAGCCCCTCATCACTCCCTGAAAGCAAAGTTTCAGAAATGTCCTTGAAACATGTATTTGTTTCTTATTACTTTCCATTGTGCAGAATTTCAAAGTGGTTTTACAATAGTGCTACAGGAAAAAAGAAATGATAGATAAAAGCAGCAGCTAGGAAAAGCCAATAGAAAAAAACATTCAAGGCAAACATACTTAAATATGTTTTAAGCATATTTAAAAGCATCGCAGCTACAGGACAGTTACTGCTGTAAAATCTGTCCCATTTCTCAATATTGCCAAGAATTGTTTTTCAATTTCATTACATATCTAGATAGATTCAAGTATTTATAGCTCACAAGTTTATACGAACCGCATCAGCAACAGCTAGTCTCATACCTCTTTAACTTTATGCTTGTCGAGTTCATCAAAAAGTGTCTGAAACTGAGTAGCTGACAGCTCTCCTGGAGGGCAAAATTTAAGCTTCTGCACATGTAACAGAAACAGGTATGTATCATGCAGATGTCATAGGTCAGTAAAAACAGTATCTTTAAAACAAACTAAAGTAACACACGCTTAACTACAAATGGTGTCCTACCCTAATGATTGCTTCTTTGCAGTAGGAATCCATTTTTACTTTCTGGAGGACTTGAAGAAGAGCTTCAGATTGGACACACAAGCTAGGAAACCAAAAGCAAAATATATGGGAAAGTGGACACTCAAACTAGGAAAGCAAAAGCCACATAAACCTTCTGCTATTCAGCCATCGCACAGGCACACCTTATGCGTAATTACGCACATTTACTTATTTCCCATCAGGCCTTTAAGATGTCTTTCACTTACATATTTTTATTGATCGAAGTCTCTTTCAAAGAACAAAGAACTTCAAAGGCAGCACGGATACCCAAGCGTCTCCGGAAAAGCGATGATTGAATCGATTTCTAAAAAAATGTATGAAAAGAAAGCCCATCCAAAATAACAGCAGAAAGATACAGTCATCTAGATCAGGGGTGTCAAACTGCCAGCCCGCGGGCCACTTGCATCATATGAGGCCGCGCCCACCCCAGCTCCAGCAATGCAAAAAAAAGTCGCGATACGTCGTGACATGTCACGTGATCCGGCAAGTTTGACACCTGTGATCTAGACCAATGAATATTTATGTAGGCCATTACTGTGAAAGATAAAGTTACAGAATGTTTTGAAGTAGCAATTACTGAAACCCAAAGATATGAATCTTGGTTTTGCCAGAAGTACAAAATCAGGATGGCCAGAAAGGAAATGAATATTATCCATATTCATATGGATATATTTCTCAAATTTCTCAATTATCAATTCAAAGGAATAATGGGTACGAATCTCAGAAAAAGAAGCCACTTTCTGAAATACTAAGGAGCTAAAGGTAGATTATCATGGGTGGTTCTAATCCCCCTTTTTGTGGTACCCAAAGCCTAACACTCAACAACTAATGTCCAAATCATAGAGGCTAATGAAAAGCAAAGGACCGACATGTAAGCTCTGTGACAGATTAAAACATGGAATAATGTTTAACCCTGCCTATTCAAAGCAAAAATTTCAGTCCATCTAATGGAAATGTTATGAGTATAGCATGGGCCCAGCGGTTAATGAAAGATTAACTTGGTCCCATTAGCCAAAGTTTATCCAATATTTAAAAACAACAACTGGAAGTTGAAGAAAACATTACATTGCATACAGACAGGAAACCCATCAGTCTCATTTCATATAAACAGGAAATATTTTTGATAATTGTAATACAAAGGGACAATATGTATGACATAGTTAAGATAAACCTTGCAGAGGAAACTCTTTTTGTGCATGTTTATATAAGTTTTCACTGAATGTGATTCTGTTGGAATATATGTTAGAACAGGGATCCTCAACCTATGGTCCGCAGCCCAGGACTGGCTGCAGGCTCATGGCCAGTGGGCCACAGAAACGGCTGGCTGGTGTGCGCATACATGGGCGCGCATTCCCCCCACTCACGCTAGCATCCGCGGCCCCGTTTGTGCATGCATGCGGTCACGGCGAAGGTTGTTGAGAGTGTGGTTGCATGGCAGTTCCCGCGGCACCTGGAGGAAGCAGATTATCTAGACCCATACCAGTCGGGCTTCAGGCCGGGACACAGCACGGAAACGGCATTGGTCACGTTGGTGAATGATCTCTGGAGGGCCCGGGACAGGGGTTATTCCTCTGTCCTTGTGCTTTTGGACCTCTCAGCNCAGGGCCAGCAGTTCCCTCCTGGAATACAGCTCCAAATCATGGCGGGAGGTCCAACAGCAGAGTCGGGAAAGGGAAAAGTCCTCGTGGTGGTGGTCAAGGGGTTTGATGGGTTAGAAGAAGACGATGTCGTAAGTCTTTGCACCCCCCATGAGAAAGAAAAAGGGAGGGGGGGAGGGAATTACAGTCAAAGTCGTCCGGAATATGGCAACCGTCTTAAATATGAGTCAGTTGCCAAATATTTTAATTTTGATCACATGGCCATGGAGCAACATCTGTGAGTTGAAAAATGGTCATAAATCACTTTTTTTCACCGCCGTTGTAACTTTGAACGGTCACTAAATGAACTGTTATAAGTTGAAGACTACCTGTATATATGATTCTCCTTAAATTTATACTCTCTTTAAAAGCTGGGTGGGGGAAAGGATATCATGACAGAGTGGCAGGAAAAAAATTATACCTGTATCTTTGCATATTTAAATACACAACTTATCAATGGTTCATTAATAAAAAGGCTTCTAACCCCAAAATGGATATGGCTCAATTATCAACAATGAATACTTATCAATATCTGAAAAATTTAGAGTATATGGGGTACGTAGTTGGGCTCTGGCATAGTAGACAGTATTCCACTGTTGTAGATATTTTTACACAAATTACCGCAAATATTACATTCCTCATAATAATCTTAAATTTAGACAGAACATTATCAAACAGTAGTCTCATTCAAGAGTACAGAAACACTGTACTAATAGGATACATAACTTCCAACCTCTAGAAAGCTTCTAAAAGTTACTACTCAATTATAATATTTAATTTACAAAAGGGGGAAAAATGTTAGTCTTAATAATGTCTATTTCTCTGATTCATAGCCAGCTTACTTTTGGTACCACAAACTATTGAAGCCAAGAGTGGCCTTTGGCTTGCACTTCCCTATTCTGATGTTATGTTCATCCATCCATCCTTGCCATTAACATATATAGCCCCTCATCACTCCCTGAAAGCAAAGTTTCAGAAATGTCCTTGAAACATGTATTTGTTTCTTATTACTTTCCATTGTGCAGAATTTCAAAGTGGTTTTACAATAGTGCTACAGGAAAAAAGAAATGGTAGATAAAAGCAGCAGCTAGGAAAAGCCAATAGAAAAAAACATTCAAGGCAAACATACTTAAATATGTTTTAAGCATATTTAAAAGCATCGCAGCTACAGGACAGTTACTGCTGTAAAATCTGTCCCGTTTCTCAATATTGCCAAGAATTGTTTTTCAATTTCATTACATATCTAGATAGATTCAAGTATTTATAGCTCACAAGTTTATACAAACCGCATCAGCAACAGCTAGTCTCTTACCTCTTTAACTTTATGCTTGTCGAGTTCCTCAAAAAGTGTCTGAAACTGAGTAGCTGACAGCTCTCCTGGAGGGCAAGATTTAAGCTTCTGCACATGTAACAGAAACAGGTATGTATCAAGCAGATGTCATAGGTCAGTAAAAACAGTATCTTTAAAACAAACTAAAGTAACACACGCTTAACTACAAATGGTGTCCTACCCTAATGATTGCTTCTTTGCAGTAGGAATCCATTTTTACTTTCTGGAGGACTTGAAGAAGAGCTTCAGATTGGACACACAAGCTAGGAAACCAAAAGCAAAATATATGGGAAAGTGGACACTCAAACTAGGAAAGCAAAAGCCACATAAACCTTCTGCTATTCAGCCTCCACACAGGCACACCTTATGCATAATTACGCACATTTACTAATTTTCCATCAGGCCTTTAAGATGTCTTTCACTTACATATTTTTATTGATCGAAGTCTCTTTCAAAGAACAAAGAACTTCAAAGGCAGCACGGATCCCCAAGCGTCTCCGGAAAAGCGATGATTGAACCGATTTCTAAAAAAAATGTATGAAAAGGAAGCCCATCCAAAATAACAGCAGAAAGATACAGACATCTAGATCAGGGGTGTCAAACTGCCAGCCCGCGGGTCGCTTGCATCATATGAGGCCGCGCCCACCCCAGCTCCAGCAATGCAAAAAAAAGTCGCGATATGTCGTGACATGTCACGTGATCCGGCAAGTTTGACACCTGTGATCTAGACCAATGGATATTTATGTAGGCCATTACTGTGAAAGATAAAGTTACAGAATGTTTTGAAGTAGCAATTACTGAAACCCAAAGATATGAATCTTGGTTTTGCCAGAAGTACAAAATCAGGATGGCCAGAAAGGAAATGAATATTATCCATATTCATATGGATATATTTCTCAAATTTCTCAATTATCAATTCAAAGGAATAATGGGTACGAATCTCAGAAAAAGAAGCCACTTTCTGAAATACTAAGGAGCTAAAGGTAGATTATCATGGGTGGTTCTAATCCCCCTTTTTGTGGTACCCAAAGCCTAACACTCAACAACTAATGTCCAAATCATAGAGGCTAATGAAAAGCAAAGGACGGACATGTAAGCTCTGTGACAGATTAAAACATGGAATAATGTTTAACCCTGCCTATTCAAAACAAAAATTTCAGTCCATCTAATGGAAATGTTATGAGTATAGCATGGGCCCAGCAGTTAATGAAAGATTAACTTGGTCCCATTAGCCAAAGTTTATCCAATATTTAAAAACAACAACTGGAAGTTGAAGAAAACATTACATTGCATACAGACAGGAAACCCATCAGTCTTATTTCATATAAACAGGAAATATTTTTGATAATTGTAATACAAAGGGACAATATGTATGACATAGTTAAGATAAACCTTGCAGAGGAAACTCTTTTTGTGCATGTTTATATAGGTTTTCACTGAATATGATTCTGTTGGAATATATGTTAGAAAAGGGGTCCTCAACCTATGGTCCGCAGCCCAGGACTGGGCTGCAGGCTCATGGCCAGCGGGCCGCAGAAACGGCTGGCCGGTGTGCGCACGCATGGGCGCGCATTCCCCCCCACTCGCGCTAGCATCCGCGGCCCCGTTTCTGTATGCATGCGGTCATGAACGGGGACACTAGTGTGGGGCAGATGTCCGCAGCCCATTGCCGCTAGCCCAAGTGGTTTGCGTGGCCGTTCACACGAGCGAAAAGGCTGCTAGCCGCCATGGGGGGGGGTGCAGTTGTTCACGCATGCGCACGATGCCAGCACATGCTGCATGCACGAACAAGGCTGCTAGTGCCGCTCCAGTGTGTGTGGCCCATGCGTGCGCATGCACCAATTTTGAAGCTGCTCTCCTTCCCTCCGGTCCACCAGCCCGGAAAGGTTGGAGACCTCTGTGTTAGAATGTATTTTGTATTGCAACAACTACAGAATTATTCAGCCAGTAGATGGCAGTGTTTAGTTTGCCTCTATCCTTGTAATCTAGGGTTCCTTTTGTTCTGAGGAGAGTTTCCTGCAATAGTTGAAACCATTAAGCAGCAAGGCCAGTGGTGGGATTCAGCCAGTTCTCACCACTTCGGCAGAACCGGTAGCTAATTTTTTGTTGCCCACGCCCAGAATGGACTTCCGGAAGTAGCATCCACACAGAGAACCGGTTGTTCATATATTTGAATCCCACCACTGAGCAAGGCCCATGGTGACTGAACACTGTACATTTTATTTAATCTGTATGGCTATATAACCACCCTCTGCTACCAATTTGTATATAATAAAACAGAATTTCTAACAAATTCATATGTTCAGCTGAAGTGTTGCCAGCTAACAAAATATCAATATTATGCTGAATTCTATATAAACTCAGATCATTACACTTTTTATCAATTTTTTACTACATGTTTCTGCAATGAATATTATGTTAATTCTTGTTTCTATAACATGAGAAGAAGATTAGAAATAGAGGCTATCTAAAAACAGAGACTTTTCTAGAAATCAAGTGGGAGAAACTTCACCTCATTGGGGAAATCATGTCATATGAAAAGAACTCTGGAAAAGACACATGTTGGGACATCTGAAAAATCTAATCTAGTCTATATCTTTCCAGGACTGCAATTAAAATATCAGAATTATGGAATGAGCAAATATCTTGCTGAAAAATGCTCCTTCACCATTTTAGTTTTCCAAACTTTTAAGGCTATGATTCCCTTCACACAAGAAGAATGTCACAATCATCATCACAATGAGACAGCCACTAGTCTGTGGCCGGCAGTCAAGTTCATAGATCATGGTCACAATGTTGACGGCAGCATCTTCCTCCATAGAAGTATAAATTTAAGAATATGATGCTGTAAGGTCTCAGTTGCATTTGTACCATTCCAGTGGCCATGACATCAAGCAGTAGAATTTCCTGCTCAGTAGCCTGAACTCTGATTTTAGCATTTTTAAACTATGATAAATTGTAACATTTGTTAGACAACACTTACCAAAAGATATCCACGAAACTGATTGTATATTATTGCTGTCAACAAGTTCATCAGAAATAAATTTCCTGTAACAATATGAAATTTTCTTATTTTCTTTTAGGCAACAGTACAGTTTTGTTTGTTTTCTTCCTGAAAACTAAAACAAAGAACTAATTCAATCTTTACATTCCACCCAATCTGAACACACAGCTGAGCAAGGATGGAAAGAACCTTACTTACTCCTTGTATTGTTAAAAAGAAATAAACAATACAACAAAATGCAGTGACGTAAAATTGCCTTTGGAAGAGCAAATACAGCCCTCATAAAAGATCAGGAGTACCATACAGTACCGGGAAGTATGAATCACCAATTGAATTGAAAAGAAATAAACTAGATAAATTTCACAGGATTGCATTACACAGGCACATGCTAGCTCTACAGTGTGTCGAAGGCTTTCTCATGAAACATTGCCAATTAACATTTGTTTGTTTCTCTACAGCCTCTTCTCTGCCTCAGCTTCTTCCATCCTAGACAAGATGGAATCCCTAATTTTCTACAAACATTCTCAACATTTCAACAGGCCCTGGGAGTGCCATAGAAATGTCTAGTGTGTATCTCCTTAGTCCAGAATCAACTACTTACAGCTTCCCTAAAGAAGCTCAGGATTAGTTATACTCCAAATTTCTTTTCCATGGCTTCCTGTCCTGATTACAACTTGCTGGGACACAAGTTTTCTTCTGATGAATTTCCCAGGGGTGCTTATAAGCAGCATTTACAAGTTCCCAATAAAACTAGTGGAGTCTTCCTTCCCTGCTTAAGATGACAAGTAAACTGTAGTCCTCAGAGCTTAAGAGAAGAATTAATTAGCAACCGGAAAGGTAGTTCATTGGTTGCCCTTATCATCTTGCCCTTATAATTTCAGTCACACCTCCATTAGCCACTCACTTTTTATGCACATTCTGCAATTATGGATACTAACACAATCCACTTACCTATTACAGTGAAGAGTACAAAGAAGATGCAATATGCTCGATTCTTAGAATACGCAGGAATCATCACTGTTCAATAGTTAAAAAAACAATAAATAAGGTTTAAGAAATGTCGCATTTAAGGTAATAATGTGCCCCAATCTTTAAACAGAGATATATGTAGCTTTTAGCAGTGAAATGGGGAATTCGTTTTAGCAGTTATCCAGGAACTCATCTCTCTCTGACACAAATAAGGGTCTGCAAGTCCTGGTTTGGGTTAGAAGCTACATAATACATTAGAAAGGCCTACTTGATCATGCCAAGCCTTATCGTAATCTAGCATTTTTTTTCTCTCATAAACCCCTCTGCCAAAAAATATCTCAAAAAATGCCAAAAAGAAGGGTTTAAAAGGGAACATGCCATTTTTCCACTAGCCCTCCCCTACAACTAAGAGGTGGAGAGCTCCTTGGGAATCAGGCATTCTTTAAATCTACGTAAACAAATATATAAAATCTACCCCAAACCAGAATTAATACAACCGCTCTTGGTAGACCTGTTCTCAATGAAAGTATCCACTCTCCTTTTAACACCATCAAACTATCATTATTTCCTGTGATAATGAATTCCACACATTTCATTATTCAATGCTTTTATGGAAACTGGATCAGCATATGAGGGAAAGCAAAGTCAATTATATCCACTTTTCCAGGAAAAAAAAGAAGTCAAATGTCCCTAAAAATGAAGAATCTCTGAGTTTAGCCACATATTAAGAAGGAAAATATTTTTTGGAAAAGGATCCTTACCATCTGGATTATTTGCAGTTGTCAACAGTACCAGCAATGAAGTTAATGAATCTGGCAAATTACGAAAATATCCTTGCCACTCTTTATCCTGTGGGCCATCCTAATCGTAGAGATCCAAACTGTTAGCAAACAAAGTAACCAATCAAAGGCACTTAAGAGCTATGCACTGTCACCTTTGGTCACTCATTCAATCCAATCAAGTACTGAATACATATTTTGTTTAGTGGGCTGAAAGGTATCTAGTCTATACAACCCAAGGTAATCAACCCAATTACTTCTCTTGCAGTTGCTTCAGGCAGACAAGTATTTCAATATCTAAATACAAAAGACATTATTTATAACTGGAGAAAAAAAGAAATGTAGGACATGACATATCTGGTCTCAGACAGTACTTTTTTTTAGTAACTCGTTTTCCAGTCAAAACAATCTATTTCCACATAACACACTCTTATGTTTAACTATTTACAATTTGGATTCCTGTTCATTCTGTTGGATTGAATCAAAACAAAAACGTTGCAAATTGTAATTCCAGATAATCCAAATTTTATTTTTTCTTTCATGAGACTAAGTGAAGTGCAAATGCAAGAAAAAGGAGTGATTGGGAATACAGGAAAGGCAGTCAGGGAAAAGGTTATGCAGTACTCTGGCTCATCCATCCGATTCAAAATTCTATCTTCCAAATCAAAAAGCCTATTTTTATCCAGGTTTGTTGTTCACACATAGTCAGCTCTGAGGATGCTTCATGAGAATTGACACAGAATGTACAGGAACCAAATGAAAACACACACACACACACACACACACACACGGAAATATAGCAAAGCCAAAGGCCTTTGCTTTGTATAATCCAAATGTGCTTAATAGGACCCTGAACTGTCTGTATGAGATGATTTTATCTTCACTTTACTCAGGAAACGCTTTGAACATAATGTTATTAGGCAGCAGGACTGAAATATGTAATTTTTCTCACACAATTCCCTGGTAGTTTTTCGATAAGGTGAATTTTCAAAAATTGCTCTTTATGACAATGGAGGAATCTTGTCATGCAACTTTAACAAATGCAAAAATTAAGGGGAAAACAGAACAGCAAAAACAGAGACAAGAGAGGTGAAAATTACAAAAAGGGATCCACAACTTTCTAGAAGGAATTCAGAAAATGTTCAGGAGAATGACAAGGAAAAGCTGGCAGATCTCAGCTATGAAATTGTCCTTCACAGAAAATGCAGAAGTGATTTAGTTCTGCTCCACCAGGGGATGTAAGATGCAGGAAAGAATAATGTCTTGTAATTTTACTGACAATGTGACAATGGTATGAATAATTATCAAGTAAAATGATGAGCAAGGGAAAAAAATGCCCAGATTTATCGTAATTTTATGCCTAAAACATGACATGGGGGAATTTACATTTCAGGGGGAAAATGTTTATTTAAAAAAATACACATCTTTTTATATATAAACACAACTCTTTTGTCCTAGACCAGTGGTGGCGAACCTATGGCATGCATGCCAGAGGCGGCACTCAGAGCCCTCTCTGTGGGCACACGTGCCATGCCCGGGAGATGGCGAGGGACTGGCCCCCGTCACTCTGGCCCCTCCCACCCAGTCTGCCATGACCAGTGCGGCCACGCCCACCCGGCACCCGGTGATAAATAAGTGGGTTTTGGGTTGCAGTTTGGGCACTGGGTCTCTAAAAGGTTCGCCATCACTGTCCTAGACAAAGAACCAAGATTTCATTACATGTGTTACTTACTTTTGTCCGAGCAAACAGCAGCATGCCAAACATGGTAAAGAGAAACAGATGAACAGCTAACAGCAGCATAACACTATTAGGGAGAAAAATATAATGCCAACATTATTCCTTCATCACAACACAGGACCACATGTAAAGAAAGAGATGCCACAGACAACATTCAGCAGTGAACCAGAAAAAATATTGTTCCTACAGAGGAAGAGGTGTCAAATGAGGAAAAATAAGCCCAATACATCTAAAACTAAGAAACGAGAGACGCTACTTTGATGGACACCTTCAAATGGCATTGAAGAATTTTTCACTTGTGAGAGCAGAGACTTCCTCCTCTGTCACCAAAGTCTCAGCTGCAGAAATCTTACTGTTAGCTACTCCTGGACAGGGTAATGTCACCACTGCTGTTCTTTGGAGCTTAATAATAATAATAATAATAATAATAATAATAATAATAATAATAATAATAATAATAATAATAATAATAATAATAATAATAATAATAATAATAATAATAATAATAATAATAATAATAATAATAATAATAATAATAATAATAATAATAATAAAAAATTAAAAAAAAAGTTGGAAGGTACCTTGGAGGTCATCTAGTCCAACCCCCTGCTCAGGAAGGAAACCCTATACCATTTCAGACAAATGGCTGTCCAGTCTCTTAAAAACTTCCAGTGTTGGAGCATTCACCACTTCTGGAGGCAGGTTGTTCCGCTGGTTAATTGTTCTAACTGTCAGGAAGTTTCTCCTTAGTTCTAGGTTGCTTCTCTCTTTGGTTAGTTTCCATCCATTGCTTCTTGTCCTGCCTTCAGGCGCCTTGGAAAATAGCTTGACTCCCTCTTCTTTGTGGCAGCCGCTGAGATATTGGAACACTGCTATCATGTCCCCCGTCGTCCTTCTCTTCGTTAAACTAGACATACCCAATTCCAGCAGCCTTTCCTTATATGTTTTAGCCTCCAGTCCCCTAATCATCTTTGTTGCTCTTCTCTGTACTTTCTAGAGTCTCAACATCTTTTTTACATCGTGGTGACCAAAACTGGATGCACTGGTTCCAACTTAAACATTTTTATTGTTTTCTTTCTCAAATGTTAGCATGTGAAAAAATGTATTTATTAGAGACTGGCAAATGCTAACGATGTGCATTTTGAAGGTGTAACATTTGGGGGATCACTGGATCATCTGGCTTATCTCTAGCTGGCACTATACATTGTTACATACCTTGTAATTTCTGGTAGTGTCCTCTTGATGCTTTTTAGTGTTTTTTTCATCATTGAAGAATTCTGGAGAAGGAAGAAAGGTCGAAGAATACGTCTTATCCTCAGGTTCTAAAAAAGAAAACATTTGGTAAACGACCACAAAAGCAGAATATCTTTAATTAATGCCACCAATAACTCAATAATCATTATGTATGGCTGCAAGAACTGCAATAATTGACAGTTAGAACAATTAACCAGTGGAACAACCTGCCTCCAGAAGCTGTGAATGCTCCAACACTGGAAGTTTTTAAGAAGAGACTGGACAGCCATTTGTCTGAAATAGTATAGGGTTTCCTGAGCAGGGGAGGGGGTTGGACTAGAAGACCTCCAAGGTCCCTTCCAACTCTATTATTATTATTATTATTATTATTATTATTATTATTATTATTATTATTGTTGTTGTTGTTGTTGTTGTTGTTATTCACAAAATCAAATAAAACCTATGATCCCTTGCACAATGCAGTCATCTGACGAACAAATAAGTGAACAAAAGAAAAGCATCATCCTTCATTAATCAAGTGGCAAAGCCTCATCCAGATGTCTCTATTGCATTGTAAGAATTAGGGAGAAGCCCTTCACAGAATTAATTTTCACTTGCGACCTTCCCAAGTCAAAATCAAGACTTGCCAAGTCCTAAAAATATTGCAAAATAAAATTATCTTAAAAAGCAGATGAACAAGCCCACCAAAAACAAAATCTGTTTTTTGAATAAGGAGCTATTGTTCTGTACATAACAGTTAGTTACTGTGGCTAAGACTGTTTTAACTAAGTTATTAGCATATCAGTTACTAGATACATTTAAAGTTTTTGAACTACCCCAACAAATTTCCACAGGATATGCATCTTCTGTGGCCCTCATGCTAAGGCAGCTCTCAAGCCTATAAATACTGGTACAGCTTGGAGACAGGTATACCAGAATATGCTGGAAAAATTCAACTGCTGTGAGGGTACAGCATAAACCATGGAAGGAGAGAACAGAATGCCATGATCAGAACAATGACCCAGAAGAATGACTGATAGACTGACAAGAGATATCTGACATTGCAAAATTTTGTTACAGGTTCTACTTGCTTTTTCTCCAAATGTTATCATTTACTGATGGCTTAAAATCAGCACCTTTCCCTTCACCTCTCCAGGTGCTAACCTGGGAATTAGCACAAAATTGTTTATCCATTTTATCCTCATAACTCTATGAAAGAAGGTAAGCTCAGCCATCCATGTGCTTTCAGTATGGTTTAATAATTAAAACTTCAGCCTGGAAAATCAATAATGTACTTCATTGGGTGATCTTGGGCAGTCATCAGTAACTAAAGTTACCTTGCAGTGGCATTAGGAGGATAAAATAATTATGGAAGGTACAATCACATACATCATTCTAAGCTTCTTGGTGGAAGGACAAAATTAAAAGGATCATATTTATTACTGCTGTTACTGTTGCTGTTATCATCATACACAATTACATTACAGAATTCAGATCAAAGCCACACTAGTTCTACGTTTTCCATATGTAAACACAGAATACATACTGACAATGTCAGGTGTACAACCAAGCAGCATTAGTGTTTTATTTGTCCCAATCCCACATCAAAATGATCATGGGCCATCTCTGAAACCACTGATTCCCAGCCTCCCTGACATTTATCCAAGAATGCATAAACCTTACTTCATGACAGGAAGTACTCAGCGAAATGCTCCAGTCTATCAGGGAGATGAGCAGGACCAGGATGTAGGCCATTAACCACTTGGTTTTCCGAAATTCTTCCCATCCAATTAAGTAGCTCTAGCGAATCAACATATTTGAATATCAGTTAGGTTACGGTCATAAGCAAAAGGATCCAAATAATTTTCTTCTTATATTTTGGAAAAATAGCTTTGGGGACTATGTTCCCAATCCCACTCCCTAAAGACAGAATGTTTTGATCTAATTGGAATACATTTCTGGGCAGAAACATGCCACCTACATTCCCACCAAGCATTATACTTGGCTTCTGAGCAACATGCCATGGGTTATCCTCCAAAAAAGGAGTGCTTAAAAGATGAGACAAAGCCTATATTTAATTTAAGTATAAAGATCACATTTAAATTAATTGCAATTGTTATGGTTTCTTCCTAAACATTTAATCTTGTATTTTTCCGTTACAAGAAAGATTACAATTTTGCAGCATCTTTCAGAGCAGCTCCGGGGATCAAACCCAGGGTTTGGGACTCACGAATGGCTCGGAGTTTTTAGATAATGTGCCTCTAATTTAAACTTTCAAAAATCAAATTTTCCTGAGATTTCCGTTTTGGACTTGCAAACAGGCACAGAGACTTTTAGTGTGGTCTTTTCCAAACTTGGCTTCTTTAAGATGACAATTCTCAATCAACACAGCCCTCAAGCTGCTAATTTACATTTTAAAACAAATAATCCATTGCATCTGGGAGAATTAATTTGCAATGATTAAAATAATCCCTTCAAAACCACACTTTGGGACCCTGGTAAGTTGCATAGAAAGAAAGGGATATCTATATCATCATAATCATCCTTGTAGGTATCAAGAAGTCCCACGGACGGCCAAAAGGGGCAAATCTATCCTGCTATACGGCTTCTTTTATATTTCAGAAGAAAGGTAATTATGGGTGAGTGGGTTGTTTCTGGATACAGTCATTGTTTATTCAGCTGCAAAAACTATGGTTGTAACAGCCCAAGGAGACACCGCAATTTGTGATGCCTCCATCCTTCAGCATCAGCCAACGTTAAATATTTTGCAAAGGACTATCATTGAAATACATTAAAGGTATACAGTATGATTCATTTAGCTTTTCTAAATAATGTATATAACAACCTTTCTTAACTATATATACCTGGACAGTTCAGGCATTATAATAAACTGCCAATACAGCTGCATCTATATTGGGTTCAACTAAGATCCTGACTTGGGGAAGAATCAGATCTTCACAGCCTTCTACAGGCCAAAAGAGCGGGCCTTTCCAGGACTCGGGAGGGGAAGGCTGCTCCATAGGGCTGGTGCTATGACTGAGAAGTTGCATCTCCTAGGTCCCGTCAGATAACATACTTTAATAGAGGGGACCCAGATTATGCCCATTCTTCAGATCTGGTGGGGCAGACAGAAAACCTTGAAGAGGTGAGGCAGACAGAAAACCTTGACCCTGTGCCGTGCACAGCTAAAAGGTGATAACCAGCACACCTTGAATTGTGCCCAGAAGCACATTAGAAGCAGTGCACCTTGTGTAACAACAGTGCAAACCTAGCAGACTTTAGTGCACTCTGGAACGAACTACCCCCCGAGATCCGGACGATTCCGGATCTCCTTACCTTCCGCCGTGCCCTCAAGACATGGCTTTTCCAGCAAGCGGGCCTGACCTAGGGAGGATTTTATTTAGGGTGATTTTAAAAATAATTTTAAATAGAGACACAGCTTCTAATATTCGGTTTTTTAATCTGGTTTTACAGGGGTTTGTATTNTTGGCTTCTGAGCAACATGCCATGGGTTATCCTCCAAAAAAGGAGTGCTTAAAAGATGAGACAAAGCCTATATTTAATTTAAGTATAAAGATCACATTTAAATTAATTGCAATTGTTATGGTTTCTTCCTAAACATTTAATCTTGTATTTTTCCGTTACAAGAAAGATTACAATTTTGCAGCATCTTTCAGAGCAGCTCTGGGGATCAAACCCAGGGTTTGGGACTCACGAATGGCTCGGAGTTTTTAGATAATGTGCCTCTAATTTAAACTTTCAAAAATCAAATTTTCCTGAGATTTCCGTTTTGGACCTGCAAACAGGCACAGAGACTTTTAGTGTGGTCTTTTCCAAACTTGGCTTCTTTAAGATGACAATTCTCAATCAACACAGCCCTCAAGCCGCTAATTTATATTTTAAAACAAATAATCCACTGCATCTGGGAGAATTAATTTGCAATGATTAAAATAATCCCTTCAAAACCACACTCTGGGACCCTGGTAAGTTGCATAGAGAGAAAGGGATATCTATATCATCATAATCATCCTTGTAGGTATCAAGAAGTCCCACGGATGGCCAAAAGGGGCAAATCTATCCTGCTATACGACTTCTTTTATATTTCAGAAGAAAGGTAATTATGGGTGAGTGGGTTGTTTCTGGATACAGTCATTGTTTATTCAGCTGCAAAAACTATGGTTGTAACAGCCCAAGGAGACACCGCAATTTGTGATGCCTCCATCCTTCAGCATCAGCCAACGTTAAATATTTTGCAAAGGACTATCATTGAAATACATTAAAGGTATATGATTCATTTAGCTTTTCTAAATAATGTATATAACAACGTTTCTTAACTATATATACCTGGACAGTTCAGGCATTATAATAAACTGCCAATACAGCTGCATCTATATTGGGTTCAACTAAGATCCTGACTTGGGGAAGAATCAGATCTTCACAGCCTTCTACAGGCCAAAAGAGCAGGCCTTTCCAGGACTCGGGAGGGGAAGGCTGCTCCATAGGGCTGGTGCTATGACTGAGAAGTTGCATCTCCTAGGTCCCGTCAGATAACATACTTTAATAGAGGGGACCCAGATTATGCCCATTCTTCAGATCTGGTGGGACAGACAGAAAACCTTGGAGAGAGATAACCTGACCCTGTGCCGTGCACAGCTAAAAGGTGATAACCAGCACACCTTGAATTGTGCCCAGAAGCACATTAGAAGCAGTGCACCTTGTGTAACAACAGTGCAAACCTAGCAGACTTTAGTGCACTCTAAACGATTACCCTACTCAGTGGTGGGATTCAAATATGTGAACAACTGGTTCTCTGTGTGGATGTCACTTCCAGAAGTCCATTCTGGGCCTGGGCAACAAAAAATTAGCTACCGGTTCTGCTGAAGTGGTGCAAACTAGTTGAATCCCATCACTGACTTTACTGCATTCTGAACCATGAAGCTTCTGGGTGTTCTTCAAGAGCAGCCATGTGGAATACATTGCAGTAATTAAACCAGGAAGTGACCAAGGCCTGAAATACTGTGAGCAAAGCCTCCTGGTCCAGGAACAGGCACAACTGGTATATACAAAATGGATTTGTACAAAAGTCCACTAGCCACAGCTGCCATCTGTTATTTGAACAGGAGCTCTGAGTCCTGGAAAATCCCAAATTGCATAAAAATTCGAAAGGTGGAAAATCTCCAGATCCAGGAAGCCCCAAACCCAAAGCCATTCCATGCCAGAACTGAGTCACAGACTTCCCCATCCAGACTCTCACAACCTCCAGAAACTGAGGCAGCACCTTGAAAGCATTGTTTGTCCAGCCAGAAGTTGAGATATATAACTATATTTTATGTATAATTATATATCATCTGCATATCTTATCCAGTAGATATTAAATAGGGTGAGGAAACACTTCACAGAGAAAGGGCTAGGGCTACATCTCTCCCCCCTCCAATAATACTGAGTGGAACCAGTGTTGAAAAAAGGAACACTGAACAAGTGAAAAACACTGTTCCCCACTCCTTTCCCCCAAACTTGGCTCAGAAGGATATTGAAATCTGCTGAGAGACCCAGAAGGGTTCTCCAAAGGTCATCTACAAGTTCGATCAATGCTGTCCGAGTGGCATTCAAAGCTTCCTCCAGCAAGCTCTGAAACTGAGCATTTGCTATCTTCTCATCAACCTTCCCTTAAAAAAGGTTAAAAATCAGGCGAAGTTATCCAAAAGGTGACATGATATGTATCTCAGAGCTCACTAACCTTTACAGAGACATCTGCTATAAAGATGAGGAAGCAAAGCAGTTCAATGCTTTCAGTCAGGCCACAAGGAGGCTTCCAAGCTTCTGAGCGATATCGAACATCTGATGTGACGGTAAGTGAAGAAGGAGTTTCAATGAAAGCAAGAGCCAGGATTAGCGTAATGGTGAGAATCAAAATCCTTAAAGAGAAAAGAAAACACATATGTGGGAGGGAAAAAAGGCCAAAAGTTCATTTTCCAAAATACTCCATGTCATAAAGTGATAAAGGAATATGAGTTTTCTGAAACATTGTTTGATGGTGAAATATAATTCGGTTGGCAAAAGCCTCACCAAGTTTTATAAAGACAGGAGCCTAGCCCAGTGGTTCTCAACCTGTGGGACCCCATTTGGGGTCGATCGACCATTTCAGGGGGTCGCCAAGCAAGGCTGTCTGCCTTTTTTTTTTTTGTCCACCATTTTTTTCCCCTTTTCCGGCGGGTGCCTTACCTCCCTTGAGCTGGGCCAGCTGGTGGTCGGCCTGCTCCGTCTCTGCCGCTTGCCAGCTACGCCTCGGCCGGCGCAGGGAGCGGAACCACGCATGCGTGGCGCTCCCGGGCAGGGAAAGTCCTCGACTTACGACCGGTTGGGTAGTCCTCAACTTACGAGCGGTTTAGTCCTCGACTTACGACCGGTTTAGTCCTCGACTTACGACCGGTTTAGTCCTCGACTTACGACCGGTTGGGGTCGCGGCATTAAAAAGGTTGAGAACCACTGGCCTAGCCAGTCCTTGCTCAGCTGCCTGGGGCAACAGATCGATCACTTTGCCTTTGAAGATGCCAGCTAGGGTTGCCGGCAAAGCATCAGGAAATCTATAGTTTCAACCTACCATTTGGACCATTAAACCCTACAGCTCCAATCTACCCTCACAGAAACTGCTCATATTTTTAAAAAGTCCTTGAAAGAGAAGCAATTAGCAAAACACTAAAATACTTAAAACTGAAAGCAGCAGTAAGGACTTGAGGGATTAGAAAAAGCGGTTGACCTTCTCAAAGAAACAGAGCAGCGTGGGGGGGGGGGGAAATTCTCACCATTGGCAAACTTCTGAATAATACCACCGATAAAGCCACAAGGAGTTAGAGTCCACACGATGATTTATAGAGCGATACTAAAGGGGTGAAAGACAGAGAGGTGATTCAAGCATCTCTTTTAATTTGCTCTTTAAGTATGGAAGTTAAAAGTTTATAGGTAAATAATAACACCATCAAGGAAACATCTATTAATGACTAGGCAAATTTGGGCCAAAGTAGATGTTCTATAAACATGAGACATACAGTTATGAATCGGTTTTGTTTTAGTTCATTTCAGATAGAGCTTGTTTTTTTTTTTACATGTTTACAGAATATTTTCCATAGTCCACAGTTTCTGTGAGTTTCATTTATTTATTAAATCTATTCGCAGCCCATCTCGTATCGAAACAGGGTCCTTCTGCCAGCCGAATGGCATCTCTGCCACAATGTTCTCATATCATTTTTTGAATAGCCCCTGAAGGCAGGGAAAGTCCTACTGACTGATTGGAAGCCCATTCAATAAGAGACCCACTGCTACTAGCAATGTCATGACCACTGCTATGCCATGAAGCTATGCCATCACTCCGGATAGTTCTCATTTTGTGACTGTTCAAAGTTACAACAACACGGGGAAAAAGTGACTTACAATTGGTCCATGTCATTTATGACAGTTGTAAGTAACATCCTCACAGTCACGTGATCAAACTTCGGGCACTTGTCAACCAGCATGAGTTTACGATGTTTACAGCATCCTGGGGTCACGTGACTGCCATCTGTGACCTTCCCAGTCAGCCCCAGAAAGCAAAATCAATGGGAGAAAACCAGATTCACTTAATGGCCATGTGATTCACTTCACTGAACAACCGTGATAAAGTTAAAAAATCAAGTGTGACTCACTTAACAACTGCCTTGCTTAGCAACAGAAATTCTCTTCCCAATTGTGGTCTTAAGTATTGTTCAAAGACGTAAAAACGCAACCGCCACATGATTTTTTTTTTTACAAACATTCTGAATGATCCGACTTATTATCACAAACCTTGTAGTATAAATCAACATCTCAGCAGGAAGGAAGAATACCGGAGCTTCTAATGACAGTTCTTTAATTAAAACAGTACACTTGGAGCAAACTTTTACCTGAATTGCATCTTCAATGAATACTACAGCTTGGTTGAAATAGAGTTCAGGGTCATCAATGGCTGCAAGATTCAAAAACACAATGGTTATAAAATGGTTATAGAGTGGTATTCTTTTGTTTATTTGGGAGTGTTCAAACATATTAGCTAACATGCCTTAATGATTCAAAGCTATTTCAAGGAACAATTTAAAAAATGAGGAAGAGAAACTCCACACCCTTCTGCTGACTGACATCAAGAAAAAGACAAAGAAATTGATTGTTGTTTAAGTTACCTTAACAAATGAGTCTTTTATGATATAGGGTGATCCCTGATCTCCCTTCCTTCCGCCGCGCCCTTAAGACATGGCTATTCCAACAAGCGGGACTGGCCTAGGGTAATTTTTTAGAGGGGTTTTAATCATATTTTAATTAGACAACATTTAAATATTTCTTTTTAACTAATTTTAAATTTTGTAATTGTTTTTGGTGTATTTTAAATTGATTGTCAGCCGCCCTGAGTCCGCAAGAAGGGCGGGATATAAATTCAATAAATAAATAAATAAATAAATATCAATGATTTTCTGAAAACTATAAGAAGAATCTTATCTTTCCAGTGAATTTCTCAAGCTATGGGGAGAGGAGGACCGATACATAAGCCAGAGACATATCTTACTTCAATTTTAAATGCTACACTCTGCGATCTTAAGCAAACTTAATTTCTCTTTCATGCACACACATATACACTGCATTTCTCTCTCTTTTGAAGCCAGCCCCCAATTCCAGTAAGTATTACAATCACACTAAATATGGTAAGAATTACTGAAATAATACGCACAGGGAGCTGTGAGTTTGTTAATATATCAGGCAGCAGACTTATACTTCTCCCCAGCCAACCCATTACACAAGAGCAGAAATATACTTATTTGTCAGAATGCCAGGCCATCAATAGCCATCAATAGACATATAGATATAAACCAGACATGTCAAACACAAGGCCCGGGGGCCAGATGCGGCCCGCAAAGTGGTTTTATGTGGCCCGTGAAGCCATCCTGGAAACAGTGAGGGAACGGTCCCCGCTGCCTTGGCCCTGGCCCAGGCCGGCCGGGAGCCAATGTACAATTTTGTGGTGGCCATCTATGCTGAAATGCATTCAGTCTTAGCTCCACAAGGCTGTCCAGAAACAGCGAGGAACCAGCCCCTGCCGCATTGGCCCCGCCCCCTGGGTGCATGCTGGGGAGGTGTCACCCTTTGTGAGGAATCAAGAAATGCACCATGCCTTGGCGCTTGCCCCGGTCCCACCTCCTTCTGCCAGAGACCCTTGGATCTGCCCCACTCCTGCCCAGGCCCCCACAGGCACCCTTGACACGAACGATGTAGAGTTGGCCATGCCCACCCAGTAGGCCATACCCACTCCGTCCACACCCATCCAGTAGGCCACACCCACCCGCCCCCCCCCAAGGGCAACCGCAATGCTGATGTGGCCCTCAATGAAATTGAGTTTGACACCCCTGATATAAACAATATCTATATAATATGCAAAAGAGAAAATCAACAAGCCAAAAAGGAACAAAAAGACCAAAACACCTCCCCACCAGCAATCAGCACCCAGATGAGCATAGATTAACTCCAAGATTAACATCAGACCAACAATCAAATAAACAATACCCCAGTCAAGGAATTGTCAAACAAGCCCATTAAGCAGCCCAACCAAAGAACCTCTAAGACCAGCCCCACCAGCCCTAACAGGTAAATGACTAGAATATAAACTGAGAGCAAACCCCACTCCTTACTAGCACTGATGATGTTACCTAGTTTGGGTAATGAAACATTCTGCAAAAAAAACCCCAACCAAACTCAGAAAACTTCAAGCACCTACAATCTTATCTTATATTTTTTTTTAAAAAAAATCAAAACAAAAGCACTTTCCCAGAGAAAGGATTCTTTATAGATCCAAAATCTTACATCAAATGGATCCTTAGCCCGTGTGTAGCTTTTTAAAACCAAAAAGAGCAGGCAGGCAAAGGGCAGGGAAGAAATGACGGACTGAAGATAGTTCTGTGAAAAGTGGTTAACCGATAACTACAGAGGAATGAAGAGCCGGCAAGTAGACTCCCTTCTCATAATTTCTCTCCAGAGAAGGAGAGGACGTGAGATCACACACAAGTGCCCCCACAGCCGCTCCTCACAAGGAGACTGCACAGCAGCAGTTTCTGGCAGATTAAAACTGGCTGGCTCAGGAATTCTGGGAATTGAAGTCCACGAGTCATAAAAGAGCCAAGATTGCCTACCCCTGCTCTAGGTGATGAAGGACTAGCCATGTTGTTCAAACAGCAGTCAGCACTTTTGGGTTGTTATCCACACAAGTCCTAAACTAGTTAAAGAGAACCCATTCAAACAAGTGAGTCTAAAAAACATACTTGTTTATTTACTGGGGAAAATGATCCAAAGCTACAGATTTGTGGACAGCAAAAGCATGTGAAAATTAAGTTCAGTAACTGGTATGCTCCACCACTTTTGGGAGCAATAGCTGCAATTAAACATGCCCTATAACTGCTGGTCATTTCTATAGGATTAAGGTGAAGATTTCAACTTCGCTATTTCAAACATTAACTTTTTTCCACTTTAGCCATTCTTCGGTTGTATGACTTGTGTGTTTATTATGGTTGTCTGGCTGCATGACCCACTTTCTCTTGAGCTCCAGTTCACAATATCCAGATGATTTCCTATAGAGTTGAACTATGAATTCAGAATTCAATGATGGCAAGCCATTCTGGTCCAGAAGCAGCAATGTGGACCCAAGCCATAATATTGCCACCATCATCTTTTACAGACAGGATAAGGTTCTTAGGCTGGAATGCAGATTTTTTCATTCAAGCCAAAAAGCCATATTCTGATCTCAGCCACCTACAAAACATTCTTCCAATAAACTTCTAGCTTATCCATCTGGTCTTTTGCAAACTGTAGATGGGTATAAGTTTTTTTGAGAGACAGAGAGAGAGTCCTGGCTTTCTCCTTGCAACCTTAACATGCACACCATTATTGTTCGGCATTTTCCTGATGGTGGTTTCATGAATACTGACATTTGCTGATGCAAGAGAACCTTTAGTTCCTTAGATGATGATGATGATGATGATGATGATGATATTGATATTGATATTGATATTGATATTGATATTGATATTAATATTAATATTAATATTAATGTTGGAAGGGACCTTGGAGGTCACCTAGTCCAATCCCCTGCTCAGGCAGGAAACCCTATACCATTTTGGACAAATGGCTGTCCAGTCTCTTCTTAAAAACTTCCAGTGTTGGCGCATTCACCATTTCTGGAGGCATGTTGTTATTTTGGAGTTTTTTGAGACCTCCCAGAGTATTACATGTCTTGCTCTTGGTGTGATCTTGGTTAGTCAACCACTCCTGGGGAGGGTAACAATAGTGTTGAATTTGTACACAATCTGCCTGGCAGTGGGCTGTTGGAGTCCAAACTCTTTGGAAATAGTTTTGCAATCTTTTCCAGGTGAGCATCTATAACTGTTCCTCAGAGATCCTCAAAAAAATATCTCTTGTTCAAGCCATGGCATGCTTCCACATACCTGCATTATGAAGATTGGGCTTTAATAACGAATACTAAGAATTCTGTTCTTTAAATAAGGCAGGACCTCCCACACTTACAACCGATTATAATCCCACTGATTGAAACATCTGACTCTAATTTCCGATTCAAATGAACCAATTATCCTAGAGGTTCACACCCTCTTGCCTTTCACATTTATTTGTTTTCTTCAATGAATAAATGAACAAGTATAATGTTTTTTACTCATATACTTAATTGGATTCTCTTTATCTAGTTTTAGGATTTGTGTGGAGAACAGACCACACATATACAGTATATATGCAGAAGTACTGAAAATACAAATGGATTCTCAAACTTTTAAGCATCACTATAGCGAGTGAGAGCAAAAGAGAGCAAAAGAAAATGTGCACTGCACACTGACCAGTCTTTCTCAGCAGATTTAGTTAGCATCAACAACAATATTCAACATTTAGATAATATATTAAGGTCCTTGGAATTCCGAAGAAGTTTAATGGCACCAAATGATGACAGCTTTAGTTTACTTTTTCTGGGTTAGATTTGCTGATGTTATTATGCAACTGATGTATTGTATTTGAATAATCTTGTATGACTTTTGCTGTGTAAATTACTTGGTTGTTTGGGAAACCCTGTATTTCGAAGAAAGAAATGAAGCAGTGAAAGAATTAATAGTTAAGTAATCTCCTGAAAACAAACTATGCCCAGCCCAAAAGGAAAAAAAGGATAAGGCAAGACCAGACTTGATTTAGCAAGAAGAGAAATACTTGGGATGACTTACAAATATCACGAGAATATCACAATACAACTTTTCTAGCTAGAATAATTGAACTGCAAAAATCCAGATGATCACTAGATAGAAGCAAAGAATTAGAGTTCAGTATTCCTTTGCTGCCATCTAAAGCAGTGTTTCTCAACCTTGACAATTTTAAGGCATGTGGACTTCAACTCCCAGAATTCCACAGACAGCAATGCTGGCTGTGGAATTCTGGGAGTTGAAGTCCACATGCTTTAAAATTGTCAAGGTTGAGAAACACTGATCTAGAGGTCAATTGGTTTTTTTCTGATTAGATAGGGTAGCTGTAGCAGGTTGCTCCATAATTTGAGAATTATGGGGCAAATAGATGATTTATGCAATACATTTTGCATTCTTGATAAATACACTGTTACTTTATAAACACTGATGCTGAGATGTGTATAAAGAACTTATTCAACTGTCAAATTAAATTAAATTTAGCCCATCATTACCCTATATAAATGTACATCTAGCTTGAACGTTTATCATTACCCTATATAAATGTACATCTAGCTTGAACCCTATATAAATGTACATCTAGCTTGAACATGCAGAGTAGTGTGCACTTGTACTCACAAACAATTCCTATTAGGTTCCATATGGTTATTCCCTTAAGAAAAGTGCTTAGGAATGTAGCCTAATATACTTTGGAATTGTTTCAAAACCACCTTGTGGAGGAAATATTATCAGATGG